GCCGACTGTGAAGAGGTCCAAGCGAGCTACTAACAGTCTAAACGACGATCAAATGGAGGAATTGACCTCGTGGAACAGTTATTTTTCGCGGGAAGAGCTTATCTAAAAATAAACTCACTTGTAAAAACGCCGTTGCATGAATTTATGGCAGTTGAACGCTCCGGGTTATGGGCTCCTGCCTAATGTCAAAGGAAATTTAACTCCAAAGAGAAAAACAAGCAATATCGTTAATTTTTCCCACAGCACCCAAAAGTGCATCGTCAAACAAAACACAATTAGCCTGAAACAGATGCCAATATCAGAACGGATTCCAATGACAGTATTAACTGAATATAAGCGTGAGACCAAAAATTGCCAGTTGTCACTTCACTGACTAAAATGAACAAAGAACCAAATAAACAGCTGGCTGAAAAAAAAAAACAGTATAACTGCATTTTATGCCCACTATGTGTCACAAGCAATCAGGAGCTGAATATGTTTCCCTTGTTTCTAAATTCATCGGAAATTTATCACAGCGTTAACACACGAGAGTCAACATTTTATGTAACTTCTTTAGGTATTATTAAAGCAGTTTGTTTATTAACCTTGTGTACACTCTAAAAGTAGTTGAAATAATACATTTATGAGACTTAGATCTATCCTAAACATTCTTAGTTTGTAAAAATATGTCTTTAGTATATCGGTTAATACAACGTAGGTTACAACTATCTAACAAAGTCATAAATTATTTGAATAATTTAGTGCTAAACTTCCTTTCACCTTCACTTTGAAATCTCTAATTTCAGGTCAAGCCCACAGATAATGAACATGAAAACCGTGGTAAATCTGCAAGTTTCTTGGTGGCAATTTGGCTTTCGGATCAAAGCTAGTATCTTAATTCAAATTGTCCCAAGTTTCTCACTGATCATGAATGAGAGTTAAGGTACAATATGATAGGCTTGACAAAACTAACCTCCACTTGAACTGCAGAATTGCCCATGAACAGAACAGAAGAACTTGATTGTAATCCACAAAATACAATGAAATAACATTTTTGATACAAAAAAAAGAGGAACTACTTCTGTGATAAAATTTGTGCTTCACCTGTCACACTACTCAACGTGTAGAGTCTTAACAAACAATCATTTATCAGTTTCAATTACAAAAAGTGCATGGACGAATTGAAACCTCTCAGCCTTTGACCAATCAGCTTACATCTACAGCTTCTGGAGTAAAAGCGGAAAATAAATTAGAATAACGGGTTTTAAAAGAAAATTAATAAGGAATATTTGCAGTTTGAAAAGCTGGAATTTCGATTGCCATCGGAATAATGAATGATTTTTTTAGGGCCCAATTATACAGTGCCAAAATAGAAATAAGAAACACATGTCAAGAAAAGGATTTCGTCTAACATAAGAATTCGTAGCTGCTCGAAAACCTAACGGAAAAAAAACAACAAGGATACTTCCGCAAATAATACTCTGGTTGGCCGATTATTCGTTGTTGCAATTTTTTTCCCTTTCGTGAACGATCGTCGCCATTTTTAAGACACCTAGAAAATGTTTGTCAACTGTTATCTGTTGTATTTAGAGTGGTTCCATTAAAAAGAAAGAAGATCGCAACCCAAGGTTGAACCCGAACCGATCGTATCCTAATCTCACTTCCTCACTTCTACATTATACCACACCGGCCCGCCAAAAATTTAAGTACATGAACTTCCAAACTGTCTTTCTTCATGCTGCATCAATAACAGGTAACCCCAGGCCTTTCCATAACTTTTAACGTAAATTCCACTTGGGCTTCAACGTCGTTTACTTTAAGACTATTCAAAAATAACCTGCGATTATGCCTTTTTTAGGGAAGAAAGGACTGCCTTATTGCAGGTTAAAAAAAAAACGTATCATCTGCCTTGTACAAGTGTAGTAACCACTGCATAATCATGACTAAACTGGTTACCAACGGGCGCGGTGACAGTCCGCCGTTAAAAATAGCAAAGACCGTTTACGAAAGGAAAATAGGCATTTGCGATGCGATACAAAGCACTGACTTGTATAAGTCTCTCTCGTTTTCAGTGTTCCACTAAAAGCGGATTGTCGATAGTGTAGGTGTGTGTGCGGAGTAAGACTTTGTACAGTCGATTCTCGTAACTCGAGCTCGAACTCTCTATAACTCGAACCTCCGGTCCCGCTAGCTCGAAAGTATTTTCATTTCTCTTCAGATCGTTTTGTATATAGTTTTACCCTCGATAGCTCGAACTATCGATATCTCGAAGTCGGCTTTTTTTCTATTTCCCTTGAAGGTTAGAATTATCGGGGGTAGACTGTAATTGTGTTTTTGTTTGTTTGGCTGGTTGTTTTTCGTTTTGAAATTTTGTCAGCAATGGACCATAGGGTAAGGAAAAAAGTGGCCTGGGATATGGAGAGAGAAGTCGCGAGTTATTTTTTCCTTCATGGGGCCGTATACTAAGGCTCACCTAGCCACCATTATGGTCCATGGGCTCACAGAAGAACCCTTAATCAACCCTGCACCCAACGTCAATTTTCGGAAAATATCTGTTCGGAAGACGATTTGAGATCTAGATTTTTCGGAACATTTGTTGTAAAATTTCTTGCTTGCTCGCCTCTCCTAGGATGTTCGAACATCTAAAAAATGGTATAATTGCCCATTTTTAACGGATTTTTACCCTAAAAAGGTCATCTAGAATTTTCGGGAGCCTTTCTTCTGGCTTAAATTTTCGAAAAGGTAAGTTTTGATCCCTATAATTTTCGGATCACTAGACTTTCAGCAAGGAAATCCGAACAGATCAAAAATTTTTAGGGGATTATTATGCCTATATCTACCGTTTAAATACTAAAATACGTTCAACAATGCTATGTTTAAGTGGTTTTGAACTATATTCTGGTTGGGTGCCACTGCCAAATTGGTGAAGTAACTCAGACTCAACTACAGTCTCGATACAGTCGACTCCCGGTAACTCGAACCTCCCACTATAACTCGAAGCTATTTTCATTTCCCTTCACTGAGGTCATTTTCTATATACAGTTGACTCCCGAAAACTCGAACCTTCGCTAACTCGAACCAAATTCGATTTCCCTGTATTTCCTTCATACATTTACTGTAATTTTACCCTCGGTAACTCGAACTCTCGATAACTCGAACCTCCCGCTAACTGGAAGTGATTTTTGTTTCCCTTCAGATCATTTTTATATAATTTTATCCTCAGTACCCCGAACCCTGAAATGGTTTAAATCTTACTTAACTAACCGTATGCAAAGGTGTAAAGTAAACAATTATTTATTTAGCGCGAGCCCTCTAAATTGTGGCGTACCTCAAGGGTCAATAATTGGTCCTCTTCTTTTCTTAATCTATATGAATGATCTACCAAATTGTTTGAATGTGGGCCCTCCTCTCCTAGAATGTATGCCGACGACACTAATGTTACCTTTTCTGCAGCTACTATACCTGATCTTGAGTCCCACATCAATAGTGACCTGAAATATATTGATCGCTGGCTCAAAGCTAATAAGTTAAGTCTCAATGTCGCCAAAACAGAGTTTATGGTTATTAGCTCGAGGCAGAAACTACAGTCTTTAACTGACTACACAATGAATATTCATATAGACGGCGTCCCAATAAACCAAGGCAATAAAAGCAGATCTCTCGGGCTTATCATTGATGAAAATCTCTCGTGGAAGGACCACATTCATGAAATCTCTAAAAAAGTATCCTCTGGTATAGGTGCTCTTAAGCGGGTCAGGCCATTTGTTTCAATGCACACAGCAATTAAAAGATACAAAGGTCTTATCGAGCCACACTTTGATTATTGTAGCGGTGTATGGGATGGCTTGACCCAACAGCTTAGTGAGAAACTTCAAAAAACTTCAAAATCGTGCTATCAGTGTTATCACAAAATCTGGCTATGATACTAGTTCCAGATTTCTTCTTAAGTCGCTTGGTTGGGACAATTTATCGGTTAGAAGGGCTAAACAAAAGGCTAATTTAATGTACAAGTGCATCAATAATCTCGCCCCAGCTTATCCCTGTAATTTGTTTGCCCAAAGAACACCGAATCACTATTTTAGCAACGCGAAGAAAAAATTAATGTTCCCAAAACCAAGAACTGATTATCCGAAGCGTAGCTTCAGTTACAGTCGAGCTCTTCTATGGAACAATCTTCCTGAGGAAATACGTACATCAAATTCCTTAGGTTTCTTTAAGAGAAGTTCTCATAGATGGTTTTTTGATCATTACTCCCACACGGCAAATATGTAAAACAGTTTTTGAGAATTTTTAATCAATTTTTTATATTAGACTGATGTTTTTAACCGTGTTTAAATAAAGTTATTATTCATTCAACCATGTTTTAAGCGCGTGAGAGGCCGGGGAAAGAAAAAACGGTGCACCACTGTATAGAAGTCCGAAGCACTGAATTTATTTCAAAACAACCATGTCAATTCTTTGTCGTTACTTTTTTTGTCACTTCAGTTCAAATTCAGTGTCCATCCCAGTGAAGTGTGCATGATACTTGCATTCCCTCCTCATATTTTGCTTATTTGCTTATTTCCAGTTATCTGCTTCGAACTCTCGATAACACGAACTTTGTTCGAGTTATCGGGAGTCGACTGTCATTTTACCTTTGAAAACCGGCTCCAATTGCCGATAACGCGAATTTTTTAAATTTTTCTTGAAGGTTCCAATTATCGAGAGTCGACTATAGTATTCCAGTCCTGGCTCCTTGTAAATCGTCACGACATGCTGTGCTCTTTATACTTCAGTATTGGTTCATATTCTTTGCCATATGCATCTAGACTGATAAAATAGGAAATTGAAACAAACAAAAATAATAATGATAATAAATAAGTGAGTCTACATACACAGGACAGGATACTCGCGGCTGTTCCCACTGCAGTGCCAGGTCGAGATTACTTTTTTTTTTTTTCAAAACTGTTTTCAAGTTTGCCAATCCTTTACACACATGCACTTTAGGATATGATGGGAAAATGTAACAGAGAAATGGACAAATCGAGAAACCTGACTCCCATTAAATTTATCAACAAATTCTAAAACGGGACAATCTTGGCTTCTCAGACGTCCGAGGTCGTTCGCAGCCCCTTCGCTTCTCTCCCGCGAGGACGAGCTCGGACCGCGTCTAGAATTAGGCTTCTGTGAGTTTCCCGCGTGTTTTTGGTTTTATAAACGATATTTTCTGTACTTAGGTTTTCAAAACCTACTAGTATCCTGTTCGTGCAGGAAATTAAAAAATAAATAAATAAAAAATAAAAACGCTCTAATAAAGGTGTATGAACGGAACAAGAAAGCAAAAGCCTGGAACTAGTGCAAATGCCCACAATCCATATTGGGCGCAACAGTAAACAGGTTTGAGATCGGAAACGTTTGAGCTGAGGCTCAGGCTCGGTTCTCCAGGTATAATTTCAATTTGTTTTAAAAATGGAAAACGCTGGTAGCCCGCCTCCGAGATGTCCTTGCGGATTCTGGGGGTAGGATTGTGTTTAATATATGTGTTGCCATTTTGACCTTCTCAATAAGCTTTTTACGATCGGGGAAAATTTTGAAAGTTTAGTGCGACTTGATTAACACGAGAAAAATGCCTTTTATTTCCCATTTCCAGCTCTCCACAGACCTTGAATTTGTGTTCAAAGTGTTTCAAGGACGGTGAGTTAACTAACATCGTTTGTGCTTCTCTATCAGGCGTTAAATTTTATAATGGACACAACATTGCGAAGGTCACGCATATACCAGTCTAACGTACGGCAGTTTTTCATTTCTTTGAATGCATTTCTCCTCTGTTTCTAGAATTACAAAGAAAGGAGAAAGTAGAAGAGAACAATGCCTCCGTTCCATCGACTATACCTAAACTGCAAACTTCTGGTCGAAATGAATCGAAACAGGATCTTGGAAAGGTGATCTCGAGAGAACAACTAGTCAACCGCGAAGTCCAAGGTGACACGAACGATTCAAAGTGTAGGAAAACAGAAACTGAACAAGCAGCTCAGGGAAACAACTCTCTAGACTTAGAAACAAGCAAGCAAGAAAAGGGATCGAAAAATGAAGTCCTAGGAAAAGATATATCTACACAGAAAAAGCGAAAACGCTGCTGGACGTGCAAGGCCAAACTTGAACTTGCTCAGCGAGAACTGGGCAATTGTAGATGTGGTAAGTACACCAAACGATCGCCCTTTATGTAGTGTACATGTATGATGTCATTGCGTGCGTCCTCGCTCAAACGAAATTTGGTGCCACTTTTCGTAAGAAATCATGAAATCATCGTGGATACAATAATCTTTCTCCAATAGAGATCACACCAGTTGGTCAAGTTTTGTGACAGGGTTATAGAGTGTGAGATAGGAGTGGGGAATATAGCCCGTGGGGACAGTCCATATTTTATCCTCACGGGACATCCCCCACCCCCCGAAGGATGACTAGATACTGAAGCTTCAAATTTTTGTCGCCGCTCTTTGAAAAATGAAATCCGACGGGTTCATTCTTTGCATGTTGGCACCTTTGAAAAATTTGTCCGCAGGGTCAAAATTTTGTGGGCTTCTTTGAAAAAAAAATCGGACGCCCCCCCCCCCCCGCCTATTTGAAAACCTGTCATCCTTAGGGGAGGGGTTTGGATTAAAAATGGAATGTCCCCTGAACAGAAATGCAAATGACCCATAAAAGTTGAGCTTGAACATAAAACTCTAGCGAGGGTGACATTCATTTTCTCAGGCTCCCATAAGAAATTTTTTTTGGTGTTTCTACAGATGATTTATTATATCTTAAGCCCTTGAAAAATGTAAGAAAGAATGCAATATGCTTTAACTTATTCTAGTACAAGATTTTTGTCCACTGAAAACCAAAATTACTCAATGTCCTGGTGGATTCTGTCTTCAATATTTTAAGCCCATGAAGACAAGGTGAAAATTTCCTTCCATTTGCCTTGCAGTAGGGCAAACGGAAGGAATTCTTTCTTCTAGGAGGGTTGGAAAGGGGATTTTCTGTGAAACATGAACGCCTATTTTTGATTGCGGTGAATCGTGTACGAAAGAATATATTTCTCGATCGTGATCCATGAACAAAAGTAATCCCGTGATTCGTGAACAGGGTCTATAATTTTTCGTGAAATATTCAACCTAAACTTTCAAGGAACTTGATATATCAAGGTCATGTCTATCAACAAAGGTGAACAAAATGCCACGCTCATCCTAGACATGTCTAGACATCACATGATCAAATGACTCGTATGAATAACTCCTTCATGGCATGCATTTGATATCATATGAAATATAGGGAGCGAAAATTTAAGCACGGACGTTGAGGAAAGCGTTTTCCAAGTTTCCTTTATCGGGAAAGCACTGGTCCTTGCAGGCGTTTGTAAGGCAATTGGTAGAACATATATGCAGGCCTCAGCGAGTGAACAGTGTATTGTATAGTCTGTGTCATTGCCTTTTGAGACCTATAAAAGTACTGGCAAAGACATTGTTCTTGCACATACGCTCTACACTAAAGGATTGCAAATAATGAAGTGTGACCAGTTCTGCTTGTGTACAGAGTACACTGAGAGTAAGGCATGCAGTTGTGAATTATTGTAAATGTGGTATTGTAGGGCGTGAAAACAATAATAGTTGATACCTCTGTTTTTTAATACTATATGGACGACAAATAAAATCAAATGCTGGATTTTGTGTAATTCGTGAAAATTCTGATATAATTCCCGTGAACCGTAAAATTTCGATTTTAATTCCATGAACCGTGCATGACACCCCCCCCCCCTTCTGAACCTCTTCTAGTGTCATGTCCCGTGGCAAAGCTTGCCTTACACTTGGTATCCTTAAGTCCATTTTACCTCATTCTTTCTTTTAGATTTTGTCTTCTGTCAATTGCATCGATTGCCAGAGCAACATAATTGTGTTTTTGATCACAAAGAAAGTGGGCGTCAAGAAGCAAGAAAGAAGATGGTTAGTCCAGGGCCAAAGAAAGTAGGAAGATCTTTTCAGAGGATAGATGAATGAAGAACAGATGACATTAATCCTTGTGGTTGAACTCTTAATATCTGGTGTACGTTTGATTTTGAACACCCAAAAATCGTGGCACAATATTTTTTATTCTTGTGCATCAGGAGTGATCACATTGATCAATGCTAGGAGAATTCTGTTTATTTTCATGTACCGGCAGTTTAATATGGAAACTTATTAAGTAATAATTTGATCAAAGGCAACTTCAAATAAGTATTTTCTTTCTTTTAATTATGTAGTGTTGAATTTCCTTTTTAAATTATTTTAATATGCACTTGTTTTTGCTGAGGGTCTGCAGAATGCTGATAAGCATATCTGTCTCGAAAGAGCATCTCAACTTGTGGGCTTTGAGATCATCAAGACCTTAAGAAACTACAATGTTGAAGGTAACAGGAATGTCAAAATATCATAAGCGTAAGATAGGTTAAATAGTGAGCAAAAACAATAATAGCTTCAAGCAAGCTCTCCCACGAGCTCATGTGACAGGGGAGAACAAAGAAAGAAATTCAGTTTCCTAAGACGTGACTGCAAGCTCTGTCTCCTTTTTTCTCCCCTGCCCCCAGACTTGCCCAGAGTCCCCTGGCAGAGAGTTTGTATACAGGCTAAAGCAACAACTCTGTGAGTGTACATCACACTTTTCTGTGAATTCCTTTGCTATTCCTGTATGACTAATTTTATGATTTTCTTGAGAATGTGAATGACATTAATTTAAATAAATGATTAAATCTATATTTTTAGGGTACCTGATCTTTTCACAAGCACACTCTCTTCAGCTCAAACTTATTTTCTGAGCTATTTATTTAAATAAGTGAATTTTGATATCAGAACTTTGTGAAGAAGTTTGAGTTGACCCAAAGTCAATAATAATTTCAGGGGCATCACCATGTTTGAAATGCAAATTCTCTAATCCCACACCCAGTGGTCACTGATAAATTTTTACTTTCTCCTCTTGGTTTCGGAGAGTGAAACGTGTCAAGGTGATTCCCTGGTTTTGCACTGCGCATCTCTTACTGCGCATAACAAGATTGCCTCCGTAAAAAAGAGCATGTGAAGTAACATTATTAAAATGAAGTTGACTACTACTACTACTACGCTATTGCAATTTTTGTTTGCGGTTGTTTCTTGCCGAGGTGAGACTCAATGTGGTGGGAATGTGCATAACGTAAGCAGTACCGTGTTGCTGAGTTCAACTTCCTCACGGGGAAACCTCAATAGTGGATGTTTAATTTGTGCTTATTCACTTTGATTTTCATTTAAACGCTTTCTTTATCACATTGTGTCCTAAATGTGATATCTCGATGTAAATTCTGTAAAAACGGATTTTTTAATACTTTCTTCCCCCTTTCGCATACATTCTATTTTGAAACTCGCCCCAGTCCTCTCTCAAAAATCAAGGAAAATGCATTTGGTGCGCACTTTCTGCAGCTCTACCGCAAAAACGAGTACGCTGACCCCCATTTTTTATTTCATGATTTTAATAAGGACAGTGCTTCCTTTCGGTGAGAAAAAAATTGGCACAAATCTATGTTCAGTTTTTTGGCAATTTTACTAAATTGTACGGATTGAGCTATCACATGTCGAATAGTGCGTGTCCAATTTAATTGTACTTTGGAGCGTAAAGTCAGAAAAAGTAAAAACAAGGGCATTCAAAGGCATTTTTCTGGTACGTAAGTGGATGAACAATATATTAAAGTCAAATTATGTGCGATACCACATGCATCATTGAAAAAATCTTTCCTTTTTGTCTAGTTTTGGGCTGCGCGCAGTTTTTGTCAAAGGGTCCAAAATAGCCGTATTTGTCAGCATTGTGACGTCAAAACGAACACGGTGACCCCCACTTTTTATTACCTTTTTGTCATCTTCTTGACTTGATACATCAGTGTACCAAGTTTCATCTACAATCTATGTTAGGTTCTTTTACTAGGGAATCACCTTAAGCACTGAATTTAGCACCAGACAGATGAAAGCAAGGCAAGTAAATATGCTGTGTTCACCAAAAAGGATGGACCAAAAAAATGAATTTCTTTTAATAAAAAGAGAAGAGTGGGGCTGCTGCTGTATTATTCAAACATTTTGTATTAATTTGATTTGGTCGCGAACATTTTGTTTTAATAAGGGCATTTTGAAAACCGATTTCTATGGCAACCATGTGAGGGGTAATTATTGCGCTAAATTCTTGACACAGTAAATAAGATATTCCAACCAAATGCATAACAATACAAAATAAAGGTCTTACTAGCTTTTAATCAAAATTTCATGACAAAAGTTCAGTTACAAAAGAGACAACCTATTTTCCATGAGACTACTGGTGGTCTATCACATCACGCGATGATAAAGGGTCAAATTGGCTTCATCAACTGAGGAGACAAACTAGCATAAAAATTGGCTAGCATAAAGGGATCGAGGAGTTGCTCTTTTCACACACGCAAAAAAGATTCTCCCAAATAAATTTATAAGGCTAATCACTATTCCTACTGAAGCAGTCAATGTGAGTGACTAATCTACTTAACTCAAATGTATAAAAAAAACATTAATTTGCCTCTTACAAAATTAAGTCTTAGATGAAAAAGCAAAAACAGGAATAAGTTGTCATGAGAAAAATATAGGTGAAAAGAGGTATTTATTTTACATTAGAACTGATCACTGGAAATTACAATTCAGATTTTCTCTCTATTTTTAGTAATTCAACTTCAAAAATCAGGGTAGCTCCACCTGTAAAGAAAAAAAGAGAGAGAGAAATTGAGATGCGTGGACCAAGGCCCTCAAATGACTCTTGATCTAATGACATCTTCTCCATTTGATTCACAAGCATTTCTGGGTCTTCTGGTTTGAGCAAATCCGACTACCCTGGATTTGTTTAGTCACTATCAATTACAGAAAAATTATACTGGACTCTAATCAGTCCTGTTTCAAAGTGCGAAAACTAATATTAATTTTATTCATCTTAAAAAATTCAACAAAAAACTTACCAGGAATCTTAGGAGGAGCTCCTCGATCACCATAACCTAGAAGATGACAGTAAAATTGGAAATAGGTCATTATACACATATTTCAGTGGAATGAAACTGAAAAATGACGATGAAGTTGAAATAGGTCGTCATATAGGCGAATCGTTGTTAACGTCATTGTTTACATTTTTCCTCATTAGCTTAAGACTTAACTCATAGAAGCTGTGGCCGTATATATGAACTAAATGCAAAAGTTGAAAGAGCTGATTAAGTTGAGCAATTTGCACAATTTTCAGCTCCTTGCAAACAATATTGAAGGAAATATCAGCCATCAAAAACTGTGAAATTGCTGGGTGGCAAAAAAGTTAACGAGTCATACATTCTCTGTAAAATTTCGAGTTGTAAGAAGCGAATTTCTCCAAAACCATTTGGTGTATTGGGCTCAAATTTTCACAGATAACTGAAACTGTTATGCCCTTTCAATGTTCAGAGTCTTTACTTTATTAGTGTCATCAGATAATGATAAGCATATGTTAATGAGGCAAAAAGTGTAAACAAAGATTCGCCTAAAAAAAAGTATACAGTCATGTAAATGTACAACACAGTTAAAGGGACAGGTTCACAGTTCAGCGCACGCTCATTAATCAAATCAGGATAGTTGATAGCCAATCAGATTTGAGAAGTTTGTTATAGTTATGATCGTACTGAGTAACACAGGGTCGTACTCTTTTAAGCTCTTCAAATTCCGTGACTTTCCATGACTTTTTCCATGACCTTTTTAAGTTTTCCAAGACCTTAGGTTTAGCTGTCACTTTCAAACTTTCATTTTAAAAATGTTCCTTGTTTTAGGGAATTTTTGGACCTTAAACAGTTCAACAGACACAAACTCTGGTGTCCACCAAAATGTGTGCCGCTTGCACTGGTTAATTATTCCTCCTTATCTTACATTGTCCTTGCCTTGTCATCTGCAGTAACTCATCTATCAAACAAAACTTAAATTTTCCATGACCTTCCAGGACCAACAATTAAATTCCATCACTTTCAAGGCCTGCAGAAATAAAATGCTTAAATTCCATGACTTTCCAGGTTTTCCATGACCTGTACAAACCCAGCTGTAATATGTTGTTAGAGGAAAAACTACTGTCAGTAAAAACTTACCAAGATCTGATGGGATAACAAGCTTCCTCTTCTCTCCCTCACACATGCTAACAACAGTAAAAAAAAAAATAGTCAGAAGATTATGAACACTTCACTGACGGCTTTTGCATTTAGAGACAGTATAGCATGACTAAACAGAATAAAACTGAATAGTTGAATAGATATCAGTTTATTAAACTCTACAAAACATACACATACTTTAACAACAAAAGTGAAAAAAACGTAAGTTATATGACTGTACTAAATACACTGCACAGTGCACTTGAAACAAGTCAGTACAAGAAATAAAACATGAGCTCTTGAGGCATCATTTCAAGAATGCGAAAATCAGTTTGTTGCTCATTTATCAGCAAGCGACCTAACATACAATAATAATATTTGTATAGATTTTGCAAAC